TCGAGGAGATGACATTACCGAAAGGGAGGAACATCTGCATCAGCTCAGCGTCCCCAAACTCCTGGGGCAGATGGTAGATGAACAGGTTACAGCCCTCGGGCCCTGCGGTGGGGGGGGGCGGGGGAGGAGGGATGGCGGGGTGGGGGAAGAGAGAGACAGAGGAGAGGTGAGCGAGTTAGGCAGCGGCAGCAGGGAGGGGTGGGGGCAAGGTTAGGAGGGGGAGTCTCATCCAAGATCCAAAGGTGGCCATGGAAAAGGGGGGTTGCTGAGCCCCAGATATGAGCTCTGGTCTCTGCTCTGCCCTTGGGCAAGTCACTGAACCTCTCTGCACCTCAGTGGCCCTTTCTGCAAAATGGATCCATTTAACAGGGTGCCTGGCAACTTGAGGGCTCCAGGGGTAGAGTCAACCAGTGAATGGGGTGAACATGCCAAGATCTGATTAGTCGTGGAGGTGAGATGCTGAGAGGAGGCAGGGGGACGGAGACCTGCCCAGTCCAGATTCAGGGGAGGACGGAGGGAGCTGCCCTGGGGCAGCCATGCCCCTGGAAGACTCACCTTACCTCCCACAGGCAGGCCACTGGGGCCCGGAATCCCCATCCTCCTCCCTGACCTGCAGCCACTCCTTCCTACCTGGTCCCCAATGGCCCTCCCCTCCTCCCTCGCCCTGAACCTTAAACTCAGCCCTGATCTTGAGAGCAAAAATCAAAATTTATACCGCCTCCTCCAGCAAGCTAGGTGAGCAGAAAGGGCTTCCCAGCAAGGCTCCGTGATGGGATACCCACGGGCCAGGACACCCACAAGCCTCATCGTATGAAAGGCTCCCCATTTCATTACAACAGTAACAGTCCAGCCACTTCTGTAGCATGAACTGCATGTCAGGCTGTTCCACACATTTGACATGTATGTTAAGGCACTTAATCCTTACAGCAGCCCTGAGGCAAGTACTGTTGTCACCCTCACTTCACAGATGAGAACACTGAGGCCCAGAGAGGTTAAGCCACGTGCCAAGTCACACAGCTAGTGGTGATGGAGCCAGGATATGAACCCAGACCCAGGCCGCCTGCCTCCGTAGTCTGTGCCCTCCTCTCCCTGTATCTATCATAAATCTCAGTGCCCCACAAACCCTGAACACTGGTGAGGTGTTTGGATTTCTGAAATTTCCAGACAGCTAAAGATTTACATTTTTCTTTTCAAATGACCAAAACATTCAGTTTTAATGCTTTGAAAGGGAACTCTCTTCAAGATGCTTCGTCTTTTTCTTGTCATCTAAAATAGACTATGCCATATATAACTTAGCCTTTTAAAGTGGGGTCATTTCAATGTTTGTTTCCAACCCATGGAGGACATGCGGAGAAAAGACCTGCACTTGCTAAGAGCTGGGTAAGAACTGAAGTTCTGATCAGAGGCTGGTGGAAACTAAGCAGGAGCTTAAAAGGAAAGGCTGTCAGGCACTGACGTGGGCTGATGTGTGGCTTTCACAGCCAGATCCTGGCTCTCTGTGACGCGCGAGGCTGCCAGATAACCCAGTTCTGGAGCAAAGCGCCAGCTCCGGAGTCTCCCTGTCCTTTTTTCCCTCTCCTGTCCCCTCCGAGCTCTCCTAACTTCCTCCCTCCATCTATCTCCACCCCCTTGAGGGTCACAGCTGATCTCTAGGAGTCCTCTAACCACCAAAGCCAGTCCTCGGTCCTGGTCCTGGTCCCTGCCCTAAACCGCCAGCCCATCCCCGCCCTCCGGCCTCCCCTCCCTGGACTGCTGGCTCTGCCAGCGGACGGCGCTTTCAGAACCGGCGCAAGCATGCTCCCTCACCCACTTCCGGGGTCCCGCTGCTGGATTCCCCATGCTCTGGTGGCCCTCCCCTCACCCATCCCCTCCAACCATGGCATGTTCCCACTGACTCATACACTGAACGTGTCCTTTGGCGGTCCCCAACTAGACGTGTCCCCTTCGGACAGGAACCAGTTTGAAGGCCTAATCTAAGCTGCACCTCCTCCAGGACCCCCACCCGGCTCCTCCCCACATCCCTTCCCTTCTGGGGCTCCCTGAGTCCACAGCCCGCACTGCAGTCTGAGGTTCTTTCTCCTGTACAACTGGGAGGTTTTCTCTCCAGCCAGAAGGGGGCACTCTCTAGGAGTAGGGCATTTGCCTTTCCCCCATCCTCCTACTCCCCTTCCCCAGCACATGCCTTCCCACCTCCTCCCATCCTTACTCTTTTCTCCCAGGCTTCCCGGAGCCCTCCAGCCCACGCTGACACTTGCCTTGAACGTGGGACCCTCCCTACAAGTTCAGGTTCTGCATGCTGCTTTGTGTGGATGTTACTTCTGTTCTCCTTAAAGAGACAAGGAGTCTTCAAGGGCAGAGCCACTGAGCTCAGTCCCACCAGCAGGGCGTGTGGCTGAGCCCCACAGGGGTGGCTCTCCTAGCCCCAACCTACTCCCCTGCCCCTCCCCCTCAACAGCGAGTCTACACACTGTCCTGCTCCAGCTAACCCGGAGCCCTCAGCGCACTCCCTAATTCACAGATTATAGAGCATCCAGATGGCACAACCGCAGGACTTCGGATATCAATCTGGTCCAACCCAGCCTTCTGAGAAGTGGTGAAACGGAGCTCCAGAGACAGGAAGTGACTGCCCTGGATCACACCGCAGCCCTGGACACAGTAATCTGGGCTCGTCTGTGGGCAGACAGCCTCGGGGGGCTACAGGCAACTGTCTCCAGGCTCAGCTCAAAGACAAAGGAGCTGGAGGGAAGGTCCTGCCCAGCAACCATTGGGTCCTGGTATTTCAATGGCATGACACGAGGGGAGATGACCATGGTGGAAGGGGGCCAACCACTGCCATGGCTGGAGGAACACAGCCTCCCGCAACCCAGGACACAGCTTTGGTCTGGCTTCAACCCACCCTCTGCCCGTCTCCCCCCATTTCCAGGCTCACCTCATACTGGGCAGCATCCCTCCCTTTGCTCCTGCTGTTCTCCCCGCCTCCGATACCCACCTCCCCATCTCTGCGTACTGAAGACCTCATCCTTCAGGACCCCAAAGCCTTCCCTGACGACCCCACTCCCACTGCCTTGAGCTTGCCCTTGTGAGCAGCAGGCTTCTACAGGTATCTGGGTTCACATCTCACCCCTCCCCATGCTCTGCTCTCCCGTGGTACCGCAGTCAGGGAGAATGGGGGCAAGGGTGGACGATCCCCCTGCCGGAGGGGAGGCTGGAGTAGGGGGACTGGCCAGTCAGTCTGCTCTAGGGAGCAGGGCAAGGGGGAGGGGGAACTGAAGCTGCTCAGAGATGGAGAGAAGGTATTTGAAAGAGTTCAGAGCTAGACACGTGAGCTGGTATGAAGTGTGACGTGGGGGAGGGCAGGGAGCAGATGGAGAGACTGGGTTTAAGGCCAGTGGTAGGGGCTATCACGTGTGTTGATCAGAGCAGCACTGACCTGCAGAGGTGTGTGTGTGTGTGTGTGGCAGGGTTTAGAGACCCCTAAGCCCACGGGCCAGAGTGACGCAGGGCTCTGACTATGAGGTGGGGGGTGGCCTGAAGCCAGTGGGGTGACAAAAGCAGTGAGGGCCCATGGGGACAACTCTCCGTCCTGGGCCTGAGATGGGCAACGCTGGGACTCCTGGACCCCACCTCTTGTGCTGGAAGGCATGGACTGGGGGGAGGAGGGCGGGGCAGGGCAGGCTCCAGGGCCACAGCCCAGGGAGGCGACCCTCTGGTGGAGGCAGGGCTGATGGACCATCCCCCACCCCCACTTCACCAATGGCCCCAGGTGTGACCCGGAGCTGCTGCAGGGTGTGACTGCAGGAACAAGCAGGGGGCTCCAATGTGCACCCCTCCGGGTTCCTGTAATTTGGTCCTCATGGGCCCAGGGACGTGATGACATGGGTCTCAGGAGCTGCCCAGTGCCTGTGAACTAAGGTGAGCCTTAGTCCACCTTCGGAGGGGGAGAAAAAGTGGGGAGGGGAGGGCCGCGCGCAGTGAGAAGTCCGTAGGCACTTGGTGCAGTTGGGAAGACAGACCTGAGCTAGTTTGACCCTCATACGCTCTGGGGACTGATCATCACTGTCCTATTTCCCAGGTGAGGACACCAAGGCTGAGAGAGGAGAGGCCAGGCTGGGAGGCAGACCCAGGGGGCTTTGCTTCAAAGACCAGGCTCTCAGCTGTCCAGGCTCTGGGGCCTGTTTGGGGCCTGACTCCAGGGGTTTGGATCAGCAGACCCCTGGGGTCCTTTCCAGGACTAGCCTACATCCCACAGCTCAGGGACGGTCTGCTGCAGGGGCTTGGAGCCAGCCACCTAGAGACCACTGGAACCCCCAGGCCACGTGGGCTACCAGGACAGGTGTGGGGGCCTCACAGGCAGGATGACCCTTTTCATGGGGGGGGGGCACAGGACCCTATCAAACAGAGCTTCGCGAGCATCCCTGCATCCCCGAGTGTGGGCTTGTTTACCCAGCTCCTGCGGGGCTCCGGGCTCTGGGGTAGGAGGACTCTCAGCACCTTTAGGACGGTCCGTCCTCCCTTGCTGGCCCACCCTGTTCACACTGGGGCCTCTGGACGTGGCTTTCCAGGTCCCCTTCTTTCTCTAGGCCTAGCCTGGGGCACTCCCATCCCCTCACCAGCATTAGAGTGCTTCCCTGGGAGCTCCAGCTGAATCCTCCACTCACCAGAGGGAAGAACTTCTGTCCATGATGAACTGGTCTCCCTTCTCCCACCCACCACCCCAGCCACGAGCATCCCATTTCTCCTCTTCCTTTCCATTGGACAAATGCTGCCCGTTGCGGGAGGATAGATTCTCGGACCCCATCTCCTCTGGGGGCCCACCTTCCTGACCTCCCTCCACCCCAGTCTGCAGAGCCGCCCATGACAGCGCACCTCTGCACTTGGATTGCAGAGTGCGGCCTCTCACAATCCTGCAGCCTCCCCTCACTCTCAATACCACGCACAGACGTGGTCACCTTGCAAACAGAACCCCCCAGCCAAAGGCCCAGGTGAGCAGCTTCTCTGGGGAGAGAACGGGGAGGGGCCTGGGAGCCCGGTTTACAGACTCACCTTCTCTCTGTTGCTGGGGGATCATTGGAGGTGGCTGAGGAAAGGCCTGGCTTATCTGACCATAGGCAGCAGGGTAGGCGGCTGCTGGAGGGCCAGAGAGAAGAGACGGGAGCGAGAGATGGTGACAGTGACATGGAGAGAGACAGGGTGAGAGGCAGGAAGAAAGAGAGAAATTTCAGTGTTGAGTAGTAAAAGCAGACCAGCCAAAAAATGCATTTCAGCTCAGTCTCTTAAGATAGAGCCAGTTTTCATCAGTCACGACGGACGAGCAGCACACGGAAGATTAGAAGGAGGGGTATGTGTGTGTGTGTGTGCGCGCGCGTGCTGGTGTGTGCATGGGGGAGGCGAGTTTAATCTGCAACAATGGACAATCCACATGTGCGGATAATCCACAAGAACGGATAATTAAAAGCATCAGAATGCCCTGGACACGATGGTCCCACACCACCTGGAACCCCCAAGGTATTCCCCTTCTCTGAGCCACGGTGGACTCTGGCACCCACGCCCTCACCCCTACTCAGAGGGCGCCTGTGTGGGAGGTGGGGGGCCATCCGAGGTGGGGGCTTGGCCTTTGGATCCTGCCAGTGGGGGGTCCCCAGGGGCTGAGGACTGGGTTGAACAAATCTGATGCTTTGTATATTTAATGGGAAAGGGCCAGAGGTGGGACAGGAATGGGGAGCCCCCTCCTCCGCCTGGCCTGGCTCCCAGAGGGGCTCAAGGGAGCTCAGCAGGTGAGACAGACAGCTTCCCCAGATGTGAGAGGTCAGCTTCATCTGGGTCCCTATGGTGCCAAGCAGCCCCATCACCCTTAGGGGAGACGTTGCTGGCTCTTCTAAACACAGTGAGGAAGGACCCTGACCTGGCCAGACAGCAGGACATTGGCTGAACGGGGATGACTGTGGTGTGTGTGTGTGTGTGTGTGTGTGTGAGCGCGCATGCGAGCGCGTGCACGGGTGTTGCCCAGCCCAGGGGAGGAAGAGGAGCCTGGCCGACAGCTGGCCTTGGACTTCCTACAGCAGCTCATCACCATCCCATTCAGTGATCCCAGGCCATCTGCTCGCTCAGGGCTGTCTCTTCTTGCTTTTCTTTTTTTTTTTCTACCTCTGGCTGCCTGTCGTCCCTGGTTCCCTGTCAACCTTGTTTGGGCCCCAGCCCAGATGCCTGTGTATGTCCAGCGGGAACGGAGATGGAAACTGCTTCCCTTCCCTCAAACCCAGCATCTGTGCTTCCTGGACCGGTGGCTGTGGACTGCGAGGGCAGCCGCCCCAGCTCCGGCCTCACCCCAGTGCTGCTGGAAGGCTTGGGAATCCTGGACGAACCAGCCGTGGCAGCACCACAGGGGAAGGAAACCTCGCGTCAAGCATGAGTCATTTCACAGCAAGGTTAAAGCTTAGCCTGGCTCACCAGCTCATCCAAAGTTCTGACCATCCACCACTGCCATGATGGCTGAGTTCTGCCTGATCGCCAGGGGGCGCCAGAGAGAGGGAGGCAGCCTGGCATGGCGGGGGTGGTGGCCTCTGTCAGTAAAACCCTTCCTCGGACTACTCCGGCTCCCTGGCAGTCCCTCCCTGCTCCCCCCTCCCACACAGTGCTGGGCGCAGGCCTGGGTGCAGAGGGGGCACCAGCGCCCAGGCATGGGGAGGCGCACGCAGCCAGGGGACGCCGGTGGGGACGCGCGGATACTAACGACCTGCATACTGCTGCACTCCAGCGTAGGCCTGCTGCAGGGGGTCCGCGGCGGTGGGGCTCTGCGCTGCAGGGGAGCCAAGGGGGCAGAGGTCAGCATTGCTCTCCCAAACCAGCCCCTCCCCCACCGTGCCCACAGCGATTCTGCTGTAGCTGCATGCTTCCCGGCCACTGTGATCTCCGTCCTGGAGCGGGGCATCCGAGGTAGGAACTCTGCGCGGGGGGCTTCCCTCTTCCCCATCCCAGGGCCCTTAGTAGGGTGGAAGGTTGACCACCCTGGGCTGGGGGATGCAGGCTACAGCTGGCTTGGGGGTGTGGTGAGATGGATGGTTCATGAAGAAGGCTGGGAAGGAGACGCCAGAGGAGGGCTCAACCATGAGAGCTTGGTGGGGAGACACATGAGAGCCCTGGCCCTGGAGAAGGGCTGTGGGAAAGCAGACAAGGGGGCTAGGGGCTATCAGGAGGTTGGTCTCCTCCTCACTCCTCCCCAGCAGAGCCCAGCTGGGTGAAAGAAAGGGCATGAGATGCCTTACCCTGCCACCAAGTCCCCTGGTCCACCCACCCCTGTTCAAGTAGAGGGACCTCCTCCCAAATTCTCAGGGACTTTGCACAAGGCATGGAGGTCTTCCATTCCTGGGCACAGCTGAGATGCCCACAGCAGCACTGACCACACAAGTGAAGTCCACCTCACGGTGCCTATGGACACCAAAGAACCAGAAGTCCACAGACCTTCTTCCACCTGACCTCGGACTGGGATGCCTGCTGCCCAGCGCAAGAGGACCTGCGGCTGAGACTTTGGTAAGCAACCCAGGAGGGCCGGTCTGGGGAAGAGGCTTGGTTCACTTCTGTTGTCTGTGCTGTGTCTGCAGAAGCAGTGAGTAAAAGCCTCGATGGCGCATGGACCAGTGGAGGACACTGCCTTTGGTGACCAAGGCCAGTGATGACTGAAGTGGGAGTGGGTTGGCCTTGGGGGCCCAGGGAGGTGGACGGGGACAGATTCGGCCTCAGTATATCTGGGGCAAGATGGAGGGCACAGGGAAGCAGCAAGAAAACCATCTGGGCTTATCTGCCTGGTGACCCAGGCCAGCCAAGCTAACTGGCCATGCCAGGCTTTGAGGCCTGTAGACCAGAGAGAATTTCCAAACATCCCTCCCAAGCGCTCATCCCTGAACCTCTCAGTAACGTAACACTAGAGCAATAGCACCCAGGTCCCAGGGGAGCCAGGGCACGTGCTGGGGCAGAGGTCCTTAGAGACAATGCGGATGGCAGCCGGGGAACTGAGCCCAGGAGGTGGGGGAGCTGAAGATGGGTGGGGGTGCGGGCTTCATCCCGCCCGGGGTTGTCCAGGACAAAACCTATCCATCTATTTCCCTTGTGGTGGACACTGGAGCTTCCAGTGGTGATATGGTGGTGGCACTTGGCGGGGTGGTGTCCTGCTCCCTGGTCTAACTCTTCCCCCAGCCTGAGCTCTCTGGAGGGAGAGCCACTTCTTGCTTGTCTTCTTGGCCATGCCAGCTGCTCAACCACATACAGCCTTTATGCCAATTAGAGAAAGATCTCTTCTCTGAGCATAGTTTGGTGCCCTGTGCAAAATATAAACTGCACAAGGTAGATGGCAGCTCCCCCAGCACAGGTCATAACAAGTGCTCAGCAAATCCCGCAACATAAGGAATGAATGAACAGCCCTTATCATTTGTGACAGCCACCCCTTCGGGTGTTGTGTGGCAGTAAAGGCCACACTGTGTGCTTCCAGCATGATCTCGATGAGCAAGAGGGGAGAGCAGAGATGCTACGTGGGGCTTGGAAGTGGAGAAAAGCATTTCTGAGACCCCTCTCTACTTCTCTGCTTAATGACCTCATTAGTAACTGCCACAGAACGAACACTTTGAAGGATCTCGCTCATTAGAGCAGCTCCAAACTCTGCATTTAAAGATGGTAAATTAATTTTTTTAATGTACTGCTCTTCTCCTTTCCTTCCCTCCATCCCTCCCTCCTGCTCTGGCAGGGGATTGTTTATGGGATGTGGCAGATTGTTATAAATGGGGGAGAGAAACATTTCCAAATTCCATGAGGGAAAGAGCTCACAGATGCTGCTGGGGGTGGGGAAGGAGCAGGTTTGTCAAAATCCAGAGATCCAGATGGGCTTGTGGGCGGGGTGGGGGGAGGTAATGAAACCACCCAGATGTGCTGGGAACTGTATCTCCCAGCCCTGATGGAGGAGGAGCCCAGGAACCTGAGATGGGTGGGGTGTCTCCCACCTCCTGCTTGCCAAGCCCCTCCCCTGCCTCCCTTGCCAGCCTGGAGTCTTCACCCTTAAACAACACTCCAGATCCTCCAGGCCCTGTCACTCCACTCCCTAGGCTTCTCTAGCCTCTTCTCTGTGCACTGAGGGCTGAGTCGTCGGAAAAGCACCGGGAAGGGGTCAAGAAAAACTCCAAGTTCAAAGTCAGGAAATTCTCCTCTATTTCTCTCCAGCACAGTGACACTGAACTCTGGTGCTGGCAGCACTTTTATACTCTCTGGATGTCTGGGCCTCACTCCAGATACTGAAATCAGAATCCCTGGGTTTCTGTGATTTTACAACCACACAGTAGATTCTGACAGGCAACCAGAGTGGGAAGCATGAGTTTGCCCCCAAAGCTGACCTCCTCTGCCCTGTTGAGCCAACCTCCTTACCACCCCCTGTCCCTGCCAGGCGAGCCCCTCCTGCTTCTGGGCCTCCAGGACAGCCCCTCCACAGCAGTGTGCTCCTTGTTCATCCAGAAGTCTCCAATTCCTACCCAGCTGTTAAAGGCTGACCTGTGCGGCTCTTCGGGAAGCTCTGCTGGGCTTCAGCCTACAGAACTCTCCCTTCCTTTGAATCCTTTAGCATCAGAGGACACTCACTCTTGACCATACTCTGCTCTGCCTTATGGCTTTATTATTCTGTTGATGTCTATTGTGTTCCTGACTGGCCCAGCTTCCCTGCTCCAGTGCCAGTTTATCCTCAAGACCAGAGAGAGGAGCTGTTTCAAGTCAACTGGACATTTTTACCATGCGAGAACTGCTAAGTTTTAGAGGAACAAAGTTCATCAGGAACAGGCCTCCTGGATCTTCTTGTGTGCCAGAATTCATGAAAGCAGGACCCGGAAGTTATCCGAGGTTCTGGTCCTCTGTCCAAAGTGCTGACCATGGCTTTGTGTGCACCAGGGGACTGAACAGGTATGCACTAGCCAGATCACCAATCAATATACCTCCACTTGCTTCCCAACAGAGTCTTTTCCTACTTAAATCTGATTATTCTTTTAGCTTCCATCCCCTCATTTCTTTGGGGTCGAATTCACTCTTAATTAATTTGCAGTTACTAGCCTCTCTCTGCTTGGTTGGATGACTCATCTATTCTCTTTTCTTCTCTGAGGGAGCCCCGGGAATGGGGTTCTCACCCATCAGACTGACAAACCCCCAAGGATTTGTCTTCTCTCCCACTAGGAGCACCCTGAAGGAGGGCAGGAGGCTGGCTCTCCCTGATCACATTTGGGGTTCCACCAGGGAAAAGACAGAGGGCAGGAGCCACACATTCAGTTATAACAGCAAGGACAGGGACAGAATGGATGAGGAGAGTGCTGCATGGGGAAGGAAGGGCTACCAGATGTACTTACCTGGGTAGGGGTGGATGCCATTGGCAAACACAGCTTCTGCAGCAGGTTGTCCATTAGCCTGCGGGGGGAGGCCAGTGAAGCCGTTCACCCCAATGGGGGATGGGATGCTAGGCACGGCTGGTGCAGTGATGCCCGGAGGGGTGCTGCCACCTGGTTCCAGAGGTGAAGAGGGGTGGAAGAAGGGGGAAGCAAGCAGAACACAGGTGATGAAGGCCAATCCCTGGAGCTCCACCCTGCTGGCTCCAAGTGCCTGGGGATAGACTTGGACCTCACACATCAACTCAGTCCTATCTGTGGGTCATGACTTGAGTTATCTCCCTGGATGTAATGAGCCTATTCTTCCCAACTGTATCTACGCTTCAAGGCAGAGTCCATATTCCACCTACCCTATAAGACTTCCCTGACCACTGACTGCTCGACCTTGGACCTGTAGCATACAGACCTTTAAGTGCCCTTGACTTTGACCACAGTTGGTCTTCCTTTAGTCTTTTTCAGTGGCTCTTGCTCATGCCAGCTAAGTCAGGATGGACTGGTCACTGTTTCTAAGCTGTGGCTCTGCTCCCTGCTATCTTCACTAGATGGATCACTGAGGGGTTGATCTGCCTCCTCATGAAGGAATCTCAATATGCAGGTGGAGGAGGTCTTAATTCTGGTGTTCCCTTGCGCTGAGGAAGACAGCCCTTTGCAGAGTCCAGACTCAGTCCTATTCATACACAAAGTAGACACCCTGGCCTCCTCCAGTTAAGGCAGTGGTGATGCTCATTGTGGTGAGGGTAAAGCTGTGGTCAGATGACAATACACTGTGCCTTTCCTACATCAGGTAGACGGAAACCAAGGTGTGGATGGCACAGTGACTGTACTGAGACCCCAGTGGCTGGAGAGAGCCTTCCTCTTCATGTAGGAAGCAGGGTCTCTCTTTGGATGAGGACCTGAGGCCATCAGGAATGTCCCTAGGTTGGGGATTAGAGTTGTGGGGTAGTACTGAAGTTGAGGCTAGAGATGCACAATCTTCTATAGCTTTTAGCTGGGAAACGAATAGCTCCTGGATGTCAGGTAGGCTGCTGCTATGGCCTGGCTGCAGAGAGCCACGGAAGCTTGGTGAACGAGAGCTGGGGTGTTGTGCCAGCCCTTGGAGCTAGTCAGGCATTCTTAACTTTGAAACTATTTACATTTATGGCCACATATTTCCTTATGGGGAGCTGTCCTGTGCATCGTAGCAGCATCCTGGTCTCCATCTACCAGATTACAGGCACATTCACCCTCCTTCAGTTGTGACAACGAAAAATGTCTCAGGACATTGCCAGATATTTGGGGTTGGGGTTGGGGTTGCCGTAGTTGAGAATCACAGAACTGGACAATAGCCAAGATCCAATTAAAAACATGCTTTGTAAGTGGGACTGTTTCTAACCCCTCTGTCCTTTAATAACTCTTGGGGTTCTTCCTTGCTTGTGTAGTTGTCTTGGAAAAAGATAGTGAATATAAGTTGGGTTAAATGGAAATGAAAAAATGGGGTTCCCTCTCTGCTTGGGCCAGGGACCAAACAGGGCCGCAGAAAGGGCAGGGTGCTCCCTGCCTTGGACCTCAAAGGGAGATGTTTTCCTGTCAGTTCCTTTCCTGATATCTGTGTTAGAGACCAGCATGAATTGCCCCCTGACATCTGACACGGCTAAACAACTTGAATGAAATTCTCACCACCCTGATACCACACCAGCGACTGCTTGGGGCCCACATTCCATCTTCCCTTGGGACCTCAGGGATTAGGACATTTTTTGAGACAAATTTCCAGAGGATAAGGCCTGCGATGGGTCCAGACATCAGGTGCTCTTGACACAGGAGGGTCCATTGGTGGCCGCCACTGGCCAAACAAAAGGTAGCAATCTGGGTCCAGCTGCCTTCCAGCTGGGCCAGGCCCTGTGTTTGTACCTTTTCACTCACCTGAGGTTGGGGTCATGGGTGCGGCCGCCAGGCCGTTCATGTTGAGGGCAGCCATCTGCTGCATCTGGGCGGCGGCAAAGGCAGCCATGGGGTTCAGGTAGCCACCCTGCGCGACCGATGCCATCAGTGCCGCTTGCTGCTGCATCAGCTGGGGCAGAGGGAGTGGAAAAAATACCATGCGCTTCCACGGGGGCAGCCCTCCCCACCAAGGGGTTCAGCTCTGAGACCAGCCTCCCAGGCCCTGAGTCCCCTGGTTGCTCAGACACATCTCCCTACCCCACCCCCAGAGAGCCCTGACATCCTCCCCATATCTGCCCTAGTCCTCAGTGGCTATTAGAGACCAGCGCCCAAGAGGAAACTGCATTCAAAAGTATTAGTTGTAGGGGAGGAGGAGGGGGACTGGCTCCACGGGTGCTGGTCAGCCCTGAAAGGCCTGAAGTTCATGGCGATATGACATCCAAAGCTCTAGAGACATGCTGGAGGAGCCTCTGTAGAACTAAGCTGTTGGAGATTTCTGTCCCTAACTTGGAGTCTGCTGGGTAAAAGCTACAGAAGAAGCATGAATAAAACCTCAGCTACCTGCAGTGAGTGGGAACTGGGGTGACTGTTGAAACTGGCCAAGCTGGGACACTGCTGAAAAAGTGAGTGCATTTTTAGAACTAGAACCCTGGCCTACCTCAGTGCCACCCATGTGAGTGCTGAGGGGAGATGCTGTCAGAGACAGCCTCAATGTGGAAGAAAGAAGTTGGTGGGCCAGGGCCCTGAGGGGAACTACAGGGGAAGTGTGGGTGAGGAGGGCTTTGTGGCACGTCCAAGGACCCCTGCCAGGAGTAATCAGAAGGCTGAGGACACCTTTCCATGAGTGGTGGCAGGGGTGGGGTGGTGCCAACAGAACACCTGAACCTCTCCCCTCCTTCCCATCCATGCTTCCTAGGATTCGTGAAGAACCGCCGCCTCCTCCCCCTCGCCCCGCTGTGCCCCCACTTACTGCCTGTGCATAGGCGCCGTAGGCTCCAAACGGGATGGCCATGGGGTTGAACATGCCCATCTGGCCAGCCATCTGCTGCATTCGCCGCATTGTGCGCTCCTTGTCAGTGTCGGCGAACTTGACCACCAGACTGGATGAAGCTCCCTGCAGCCGGGACTGTGCGTGAGGCCCACCAGCCCAAACCTCCTCTACTCCCTAGCCTAGGCCCACGGGGTCCCATCCACTGGGTGCTATGGGGAACGGGGTGGGTGGAGGACCGTGATGAGCACCAATCCTCGCCCAGGGGTCTAGAGTCTCAGCGCCCCGCGCGCGCCCTACAGATGCGGTGGGCGGGGCCCTACAGACGCGCTGGGTGGCGGCGTGTCGCGGTCCCTCATTGCCCCCGTCCTTGCCCCTACCCAGGGGCGGCCGCACTCACCGGCATGGTCTGGCTGCCGTGCAGAGCGTTGATGGCGGCTTGAGCCTCGGCGTGGGAGGAGTACTTCACAAAGGCGCACCCTGGGGGGACGGGAGAGGCTAAGCCACGGCGCGAGGGCCCAGAGGAAGGCCAGAGAAGCGAGAGGACTGAAAGGCGGGGCACGGGAGGGGCCGAGGGGAAAGGGCGACTCCCAGAAGAGAGCAGAGTCAGACACAGAGACAGTGAGAGAGACACCGACAAACACGGAGACAGAGCCACACAGAGACCGAGAAAGACCTGGACCGGCCAGAGACTTCAGAGCATCCTTAAGTCTCCGCGTCCCGGTCTGGACTTGGATCGCGGTCTTTCCTGACCCCCAGGCCCGACCGCCTCACCCCTTCCGAGCAGCCTTCCCTGGCTCGCCCGACGGGACCGGCTCCAGGCGGCTCCAGACCCGCGGCCGCGCCCCGCCCACCCAGTCGCCCCGCCCCCACGCACCCTTGCTGTTGCCGTCCGGCCCGCGCAGGATGGTGCACTCCTCGATGTTCCCGAAGGCCTCGAAGAGGCGGCGCACATCGTCCTCAGACTGCTGCTTGTTGAGCATGCCCACAAAGAGTTTTCTATCTTCTGGAACAAAATTAGGAGATGCTTACCCGGGCCAGGGACCCGGGGCGCGGGGCGGGCCCGGGGAAGAAGGGCACGGCCAGAGAAAAGGGTAACAGCGTGGGAGGGTAGGAGCTGGGGCGGGAAGGGGGCTCATAGCCTGAGGGGAAGCGGTAGCAGGGATGGGGGGCGGGTGGGAAATCGCTAAAGGGGAAGGAACGACGGGGGAGGGGCTGAGGAGGGAGGGAGGGCCAAGCCAGCGGGGTAGGTGAGGGAGGGGGGCTTGGGTCTAAGCGGGGGTAGGGGAAGGGCGGAGAGGGTCGGCGCGGTGCGGGGCGTGGGGGGGAGGGGATGGGGGCGGGAGGGAAGGATTGCAGCGACTCTGCCCTTTCCTGCCTAGAGGGCAGACCTCAAACTTTTTTTTTTTTCCAGGGAAACTGCTTCAATTCAGAAGGCAAACTAAATTATTGAGAATTGCAGTAGGAAGGCTGTTTCTCTGTTTTGACACATAGTGGGGCAAGGGCCACAGGTCCTGCGGCTCACCTAGAGCACCTGGGTTCTTTGGGCAGCCCTGCGATCCCTTCTTCCCTCCTCTTAGACACACACTATTTTCTTCAGCCACCTTCACCTATAGATACCAAAATGAATTTACAACTGGCAAGTTCGCCACAGGGCCTTTGCATATGCTGTTCTCTCTGCCTGGAGTGTCTTCTGCATCACAAGATTGAATCTTCTAATGCTAGATCTGTTTACCTATTGCTTCCTCATCAAAGCTCCTCCTTCCACTTCTTTATTCTCTGTCCCAGCCCCTCCCGTGGCCCAAAATTCAAAGGATGATTATTTACTGTTTTGCCTGTGTATTGGGTTTCTGTCTAGCTCCCTACCCCTCCATGTATGCTCCCTGAGAGAGGAGACCAGACCTCTGTTGGAGCAGCAGTAGCAGGCACACAGTAGGCCCTCAGGACTGAGCTGTAGAATGAATGAGTTAATGACCAATGCCATTCTCAAGGGCACACATCCTTTCTGTCTCACACGTTTTTACCTCCATCTGGTGCCCCCTCCTCTTACCCCTTCCTACACATGCTGCAAAACTCAGCCCTGGGCACTTTGAAGAGCCTGTTCCTGAAGACTGGACTCTGCCAGCAGCCTCCCACAGCACTTGTGTCGTATTGACAGCACTCAACTGTGTGCTTAGGGTGACAGGGATCTGCAGTAGCCTGTGACTGTAAAGAAGATTTCCCATCTCACCTGCTCTTACTGCAATGTGACTTTCACTCTTCCCAGGGAGGTGGCGTCTATGTTCCCTCCCCTTGAATCTGGGTGGGCCTGTGACTGCTCTAACCACTAAAGAATGACAGAAGTGACACTCGCTGCCTTCCAAGGCTTGGTCATAAAAAGGACCAGCTTCCACTCTGGGCTCTCTTTGGGAGATGCCTGCTCTGTGGAAGCCAGCCACCATGCTGCAAAGAACTCCCAACTAGCCCACACCAGGAGTCCACACGGAAAGGAACCCAGGCCTCCAGCTGACAGCCAGCATCAACTACCAGACATAGGGTGAATAAGTCTTCAGTTGATTCCAGCCCCCAGCCTGGGAATGTTCCAGCTGAGGCCCAGACATCCTGGAGCAGAGACAGGCCTTCCAAGCAGTGCCCAGTCTGAACTCCTGACCCACAGAGTCCACGAGCATAATAAATGGCTGTTTTACAGCACTCTGTGTGGGGCTAAAGTGTTCTGCAGCCATGGTTGCTGGAACAGGGTCCCCGTGGTGGCTGATACCAACTAGATGTTTGTTGACATTCAATGACTGACACACACAGCGAAGGCTGCAGAAATGCACACCCCCCAAAACTGCAAAAGTCCACGTGTTCGTGGTTTCCGTGGAAAACAAGGGCCCTCCAGGATCGTGTTGCTCTGGAGTCAGTGTGGTTGATACCTCCCGCCCCAGAGCGCCCCTGTTGCCCACACTACCAGGGGAGTTCCTGTAGAGCTCAGGGTCTGGAACAAAGCAGAGGAGACCTCCAGGTCCCTGCTCTCCTTCACAAACCACCCCAGAGTCCTCCTCTTCAAGAAGGCCTGATCTCCGCCCTCCTGGTACCCCCAGTCTAAAGCACTCAGCAAGCTGTCAGGGATGAGGTGCTCCTTCTAGGTCTGAAGGGTACCATTGCTGGTTCCTGCAATCAGTGCTGGGTCAGGGCACACCGGCCTGGACCTCCACCACTGATGGGCTTCAGCCGAAGCTCAGGGCCCGGAGCTCCGCCCCACCGCCCACCCCAGCCTGGGTGCTCTGCCTGGCTGCTCCTGCCCCCGCAGGGCTGGATGCATCCCGCCCCATCTCCAGGGCTTGCCAATGCCAAGCTCTGACATGGGGGAAGCACAGACTGGGAGACCAAGAGGAAGGAAGAGAGAGGGAGTGGAAGGGGTGATGCTGAGTTGGGACAGGAGGAGATGGAGCTCAGGGCAGAAAGTGAGGGAAAATGACAGAGGCAGAGGAAAAAGAACTAGAAACAAAGAGCAGAAAGAAGAGACAGGCAGAAAGAGAAGGCAGAGACAGAAGAGAGAGGGGCCAGGGCTTACGTTTAACTCCCAGAAGCACAAACTACGTTTTGCAGGAAGTGAACTGGGTTTTCAAGTCTTCAGTGGAACCCTTGAAACTGTCCCCGCGATCTGCCTCCCCTACCCCCAGCACCTTTTGAAGGCTCCGATTAAATGAGATTTCCAGGAAGACAAAGTAGTGAAAGCCTGACCCTTGCAAATCCCTGACCCTCCTGCTCTAACGTCTCCTCCCAGGAAGGAAATAGGAGGCCAGTCCTCCTCCGGACCCTGATTTCGATGCTGGGACAGCAGCTCCACACCTTCCCTCCTGACGTCTGAACGTGTTACATCAGTGTCATTATGACAGCTTTCTGACTGCATTAAAATTCGTCCACACGTGCCTTTCTATCCAACCACTTCTCTTTTACCAAGATTTTTTTGTTTTGTTTTGTTTTCTATGTTTTGTTCTTCTAAATCCTTCTTCCTCTGCCTGAAACGGCCCTCAGTTCTAGGCCTGAGCCCTTCCTGCTTGAAGACTTTCCCAACGTGTAAGGGGCCAGGCTCCCCATCTTCCTGTCTGTCCAGGTTTCCCCAGGGAAACTACAACTAGCCTTACTCTTCTGGAAGGCTGCCAGAAACCAAAGAAACCTGGCTCCAGACTCACTTCGTCCGCATGGTCTTGGGTTGACCCTACCCAACGCAAAAGTGAGTTTGTTTCTAGGATCCTCCTGCTGGTCCAGTTTGCGCTCTTCATTTCCAGTTGGCTTTGGTCCTGGGTGAGTGGCTCTAAGGCCTGCCTTTCAGACCTGGATCTGAGGGTGGGTCTCCCTCTATGGCCCAAGCCCACTGGGCTCACACCCCTACCTGGCTGCCTTCCAGCTGCGTAAATGCTCACCTCCTCGGGTTTTTGGGTCTCTAAAATGGGAATAACCAGGCCCTTCTCATGTGGTGGGCGCTAGGCTTCCAAGAGCTGCTGCAGGGACAGAGCCTGGCCAGCAGTAATAACAATGGTGATGACCATGACCTGGGGGCTCCGTCTCCAGGAGGAAGAGGAGATGGAGCACCATTCCCCTGCCCCTTGGTTTGTCCTGCCCTGACTTGGAGACAGAGGTCACAGAGGAGGAGAGATCAGCGGATCCACATCTAGGGGAGGAGCCTCGAAGGAACAGGTTGGACCAGACTCGGACTGTGGCTGACCGCTGAAATGAACCACCTCTCCCGTGGCCCCAGCTCCTGGTGTCCTCCTCTCTCTCTGGCCACTTCCCTGAGGCACTGTCTCCGAGCTGTGTCAGATGACCAGTAACACTATTTGGCTACTGTCTTGGCTCTTATGCCAACCCAGCCAGAGTCTCAGAGAATGACTTTGTTTCCCCAGCCAGTTCCCATTCCCTCCACCATGGACACAGACCTCTGTTTCCTGGGACAGGAGAGCAGTCCCTGATCACAACCTGTGGCCTGAGTGGTGCAGGGTCCCTGGGTGATGGTGGGGCTATTCTCCCCCATGAGCCTCAGCCTGAGCCTGTTTTGGGGGAGTGAGGGTGTCACTGCTCCTCTGAGGACACGTTCAAGCGGGTGCTGCTGGCACTGGGCCATGGAGGCCACCCTGATGGGAGGTGAAGCTAGGAAAGACCTCAGAGCCAGTGGGGACGGGCTGAAGATCCCCCTGAGTGGGAGGTCGCTGAGACAGCGCAGGAGCGCTCTCCCTCAGAGAAGTGTGTGCTCCTACGGTCATTCAACAACTGTTTGCTGAGCACCTTCTCTGTGCCAGACACTGTTCCAAGCACTGTTTCTACTGCAGTAAAAAAAGGTGTGTTTGCTCACTGGAGCTGACTTCCGGATAGGAACACAGGTCGTCCACAATAAACAAGTTCCCAAACAAGACAGAGGCCAGCGGGCCTGCCACGGGGTGGCCCCCAGAACTGGTGTGCCCTCCCCAGGGGGAACAAGGCCGCAGAATGGCAGAACTGGGCAGGACCTTGGAAAATACCAAGGCTCTCACCTTTTTTAGATGAGGAGGTCAGGGCAGAGAGGGAACCCCGGGACTTACATATGGGGCCTGGACTAAACCTAGGTTCGTGGAGTCTCTTGACTTCCTTATCCTAACCCCTTGCTTCTGCCCTCCTGCTCTTTTAAGCTGTGAGTGCCCGTGTCTGCAGGGGTGAGGGAGCACCTGCAGTTCTGGGGGGCAGATACCTCGGAAAGGCTGAGCCACAGAAGGTAGGGACTCGTCCCAGCCTTCCCTGAACCCAGAAAGGGCAACTCAGCTGCTCTCATTGCAGGGCAGTGGGCGGAGTCTAGCCCTCCCCCTCTCCTGGTGGGAGGGGAAGCCAATAAAATGATGGATGGGAAAAGTACCCAGTTCTGTCAGGGGAAGGTACTTACAGCCAGCTCAGGAGGGACTGGACCAGAGTCCCTGGCATCCCACCTGAGTCCACCCTCTGGTCACACCTCCAGCAAGCATTTACTGAGCACTTACTATGTGCCTCGGACTTGGCTGAACAGAGTCTGAGATA